CTTCACCTTTCCATCAGGAGGCGAAGATGTCAGGACTGAGATAGGAAGGCATGGCTGTCGTAAATGTAAGACAGTCCCAATTGGCCGTTGTCTGTATGGCTTGTTCCATAGTTAACAGAAGTTTCTGGGTTGCCTTGGATCTGACACATTGAAAAGCGATCTGCAAGAGAAAGAATTTGCTTTTAGCCTTCAGGTGACGTGAGCTCAGTCTCAGAGGTCGAGGTGGCCGTGTCCCCATCCATCTCTGTGACGGACGCTGCTCAGAGGGAGTCGGCGTGTCAGAGATACTGCTTCGGGCGCCTGGTGGGTGCTGGGCGTGGGTGTCAGTGCTCGGGGCGCTGCCTGTCACAAAGCTAGCTAGCACCTGTTGAGCCTTCAGTGTTACTTTCATTAGCTTTCCTATACATTTTTTTAATCATCACCAATTTTTGTGTGTGTGTGTGATGTGGGGCAGTGATAATCTACCTGCAACCTTTCCGGGTGGGTTGGTGAGGGTGCTCTACGCCTTGCTCTGAATAGAGCAAAGTTATACCCGAATACCTCTGACAGCTGTTATTTTTTTCAATTTAATTTCTTATTTTATACTGGAGTAGACTTGGGCTTCCCTGGTGGCTCAGGGGTTAAAGAATCTGCCTGCCAATGCAGGCAACATGGGTTTGATCCCTGATTGGAAAGATGCCCTGGAGAAGGAAATGGCAACCCACTCCAGTATTCTTGCCTGGAGAATCCCACGGACAGAGGAACCTGGCAGGCTAGTCCATGGGGTTGCAAAAGAGTCTGACACAACTTAGTGACTAAACAGCAACAACAAAGAATTCATTTATAATGTGTTAGTTTCAGGTGCATAACAAAGTGATTTAATTCCAGATATACACACATTCATTCTTTTTCAGATTCTTTTCCCATGTAAGTTATTACAGAATATTGGGTAGAATTTGCTGTGCTGTACGCTCAGTAGGTCCTTTATGATTGTCTGTTTTATACATAGTAGTGTCTTTGTGTTAATCCCAAAATCCTATTAAGATTCGTCATTTGGTGAAACGTCATAAGCCTCAGGTCACAGGGACCCCGCTATTCCCTGTGGGTCCCTGTATTCACCTCTAAGCTGGCATTCTAGAGTAGTCTCCAGTTTTGCAGGCTGTGACCCCACTTCCAAGGGTGAAATTAATCATACTTTTAGTTTTATAATCCACTATAACCATGCTTTTAATTTTACAATCCCTTTGATCCTTTTCATAGCCACCCTGTCTACTGGAACCATAATCTTTTGGCACCTCTGTTTTTCTGGGTCTTATACTACCTTTCCTTCTTAAATCTACATTCTCATCTCTACGCCCCACCCCTCAGCCACTGGGACTCCATTGTCCGTGACAGCGTGCTGTCTCTCGGCAGGGGCCATGGCCCCACTGGATGGAAGTGCCCCTGGATCCCAGTTTTTCTCTGCATTCCTTCCTCCACCTTTCTTGCTCACAGTCTCTCCCTCCCACAGACACCATTCTCTTGCCTTGACATGATTTGCAGCCCCTTCACCTGTTTCTCTGTGTCATTCGCACATTTCTACCCCCGGGAACATTGAGTCAACGGGAATCAGAAGGTGGAGATTGTGAAAGATGATGTACCCTCCGCTTCATGCTTTCTCCATCTTTATATCTCATATAGTGAGATATCATCTCTATCTCATCACTATCTTGATATCTTACCATATATTCATGAACACACCCCCTTTTCAAAGATGAAGCCCCTTCCTTCCTTTTCATAACCACGCTCTCTCTGGTGGCTCAGCTGGTAAAGACTCTGCCTGCAATGTGGGAGACCTGGGTTTGATCCCTGGGTTTGGAAGGTCCCCTGAATAAGGGACAGGCTACCCACTTCAGTATTCTTGGGCTTCCCTTGTGGCTCAGCTGGTAAAGAATTTACTCACAATACGGGAGACCTGGGTTCGATCCCTGGGTTGGGAAGATCCCCTGGAGAAGGGAACAGCTAGCTACTCACTCCATTATTCTGGCGTGCAGAATTCTATGGACTGTACAGTCCCTTACCATATATTCATGAACACACTCCCTTTTAAAAGATGAAGCCCTTTTCTTCTTTTTCATGACCATCTTCTCTTCTGGAACCTTAATCCTTTGTCACCTGTTTTTCTGGATCTTATACTACCTCTCCCTCTAAAATCTGCATTCTCTTCTCCATTCCCCACTCCTCAGAAAAGGAGACACATTTAATGATCAGTTTTCTGTATCCTAAAATTTTCTGAACTTTGATCCCTTAGTGCTTATCTGACTTCATTGAGTTTTCTGGGGTTACCTAACATTCAAGGTACCACAAATATTCTGTCCCTCTTTTGCTTCATCCATTGCCTTCTTGGTTCCTTGGGTCATGGATTCTGTCTCGTTTTTCTGAAACTGACTCCAAAATTGACCACTGACTGTTCTTTGACTAAATAAAGCCAGTGGTCTTTGCTCTGCCTCATCAGGGTACAGATGATGAGGTCTCTTTTTAAAGTGTGCTGTTTCTGTCCTGCCTCCAACTTAATTTAGCCCCTGTGGTGCTATATTTGCGAGATGTTCTGTTGTTTCTTCTCTCATTTTTGTGTGGTTACTTTTCTTTAACAACTTCTAAATAAACACTTCTCCTTAGCCAATTTTTCCCCTCTCATGTTTCATGAGTCTGAACCACACCCGTGATTTTAACCATTCTAAATGTTATATGCTGTCTTTGCATTGTTTTTCGTTTGTTTTTTCTTTTCTGAGCGTCCGCCATGGATTTTCCACAGTCTGCTGCATTTCCTTAAATGTTCTCTCAGCATTTTAAACCCAACACACACCAAACCAAATGATCATATCCTCCTCTAAAACTTCTTCTGTTGTTTTTCATATTTGGAAAAGTGGCCTCACTATCCTCCAAGTGACTTACATTCTTTGAGTCCATCTGTGCTTTTTGCTTTCTGTTCCTCCAAATTTAACAGATTGGAACAATAGCCATTTATGAGGAAGTTGGGCCAGCTGCACTAATTGTCTGTGCTCTTGGGATACTTACTGAAGTCACTCGGTGGGTTTCGGCTTTATTCACGTATCAGGTATCTTGGTGGGGCTGGCCGGGAACCTGGACTATGTGGGAGATGACGCTAGGAGGACCTGTATGTGGTCTCTCTGGCTTGGCGGTTTCAGGGGCACTAAACTTCTGACCTCCTGTCTCTGTGCCCCAGAGGATGTGATCAGAGAGACAGGAAGTGTAAACTGCCGGTCTCTAAGGGTGAGAGCTTGGAAGCTGGGGTGTCATCACTTCTATTATATTCGGCTAACCAGAGCACTCAGAGAGCCAACCCAGATTCAGGGTTGCAGGGGAGGGATGCAGATCCAGCTTTTGGTGGGAGGAAGGTTGAAGAATCTATGGCATCTTTAATTTTCTGGACTTCCCCTTACCCATCACATGACGTGTTTACTGGGTTTGCCTTAATTTCTGTTGGCACTGAAGCCCCCGAAATCACAGCTCCACTGATTCCTCTCTGGACAGTTGCCATAGCTTCACTTTAACTTCACCTTTATGCTCTTCTTTACCCAATTTCCTATGTGCACCCTGGTGAGAGTGATCTTGTTAACATTTCTTCTAATGTTAATACACTGTGGTAGCTTATTGTTATGAAAATAGAGACCTCAGACCTCAGTATCATTCACCTTCCAAATCTTAACCCAACCTGCTCTCTCAGCTGCTTCTCACTTCTCCTCCTTACATCCTCTGGGGTCCAGGTCAAGTACAGGAAACTGTTCCCAGCACGTGCAGCCTGATCCTTCCTCTTACCCCGTCCAGTGAGTCTTTTCATCCTCTTCTGGATTACTTCCGGAAATCTCTGTCTGTTGAAATCCTCTTTATCCTCCATGATTAAACTCAAATATGAAGTCCTCCTTGGGCCCATCCTTGATTCCTCTAAATAGCAGCGTGCTCTGTCCCCTAACTCCCACAGCACTCCAGCTTCCTTTTATGGTTTTCCAACAGCTTGGATTATCGTTATTTTTATAAGCCTATCTTATTTTAAAGCTTATTAATCTTTTAAATTATTCATGCTCTTTAAAGTCTCTCAGCTCCCAGGGCCATAATTTCATTTCACCCAGTAGGTGCTCCGCTTAGGTTTTATTTGATTCACACTTGATCGCTAGCCAGAAAGTTTGCAGGCAGGTCATCGGTAAGTTTCAAAGGATAAACTCACCCACTGTGGATGATTTTTAAGAGTTGGGGGCATGATATTAATCAGGTTATTAGGATAGGACAATGCTCATGGCCTTCTTTAATAGGGGTTTTTGTATTTTGAAAAGGGAAGGGGAGGAATTCTACGGGCTTCCACATATAGATCTGTGTCTGCACGGGGAGGTAAGAATGGTGTTCCGAGGGAAAAACCAATCAATGATCATAAGCCTTAAACTGCATTCTTCAGGGGTGATGATGACAACTCGATAGAGCTTAAGCGTGGATATTTCCCCTTTTATAAAGGATGGGTTATCTTATAAAGTTATTGGGAGGAACAGAGGTCTGGATTTAGATATATATATATGCTAAGTCGCTTCAGTGTCCAACTCTGTGACCCCGTGGACTGTAGCCCACGAGGCACCTCTGTCCATGGGATTCTCCAGGCAAGAATACTGGAGTGGGTTGCTATTTCCTTCTCTGGGGGATCTTCCAGACCCAGGAATGGAAGCCGTGTTTCTTATGTCTGCTGCATTGACAGGTGGGTTCTTTACCACTAGCGCCACCTGGGAAGCCTGTATATATACATATACGCATTTCTGAAATATTTTCTAGAAAAAGGGATGTTTTTCTAAGTACTCCAACTCTCTCTCCCTTTTTAACTAGAGTGCTGAGGCTTTACCAAAAGACCACCTACTAAAAACCTGAGCCCATGTTCATGTACTTGTTCTCTTCTGTGTGTTTTAGGCACTTTCCACACATGACGGGACCACGAGCTTCTGGTTAGACAAGTGCCCAGAGTTGACGGTCTCCTGCCCATCATGAAGGGACCCTGCGTCATCGCGTGGCTGTTCTCGAGCCTGGGGTGGTGGAGACTCGCCCAGCCAGAGACAGACGCATCTCTGTGCCAGAGAGCAGAGCACCCAGTCATTTCCTATAAAGGTGAGAGTCGGGCACGCTCGCATTGCAAAGGCACCATTTAAGTGCAAGTTTCATGCTCAGGATAGCAGCGGTTATCCCTCTGTTGTTCTGTGACTTTTGTTTAAAATCAGAGCAAAAATATGCAATCCCCCATCCTGAGTGTTTCATATTTTGAAACTGAGAAGAATTCAAGGTCAAAATGATCACAGATAGACAATCCCACTGTTGAGGCCACGTTTACTTGACAGGTGCTGTCAGCCCCTAGGCATGTGAACCAGGGGAGAAAAATGTGACCCACAGAAATAACAACACACCAAGCAAAACAAAAAATTCTTCACTTCAGCATTTCTCAACAAAGCCTGAGTCCTACCACACAGTGTATGCCTTTGTCTTTATCTGGCACTGCATGGCAGACAGAATTCTTTTGTTGTCTCAAATATTTCCACAGATCTGTAGGATCAATTGATTAGTATGTGTACACGTTCTTTTATTATTTAATCCATCAAAAGTTTTTAGAGCTCTTTATCCCTGAATACTTATAGGCATTTAGGGTAAAAGGTAAACTAGTCCTTGTCTCTATCTTCAAGGAAATCACACTTATATCATGAAGCCAAGTACAATCAGACATTGTATTTTAATAATTCATCCACTAGTGTTTTATTTTGTAACTTTTGTATCACAAAAATTTTGAAATATATACAAAATTAGAATCCATTCTGAAGTCTATGGAACACTCAACCCCTGGATTTATTCATTCTTGGCCCACCTTTTTTCTTTTAAATCCCCACCCATGCTCCACCCACATTCACCAAATTATTCTGAAGCAAATTCAGGAAATCATATAATTTTGTCATAACAGTTCAGTTTTTGAATATCAAAGATGAAGAATTCATACTACCATAATCATACCAAAACAGTCAAAAGCCCAAACATAAACCAATGCCATAAAATTAGCAACCATCACGTGAGTCCTGTAAGATGCCTGATGGTCTCAGGAATGCTTGCCCCTTGCTTTGTTAACAGTTGTGTTGATTCAGGAGCGGAGTGAAGTTCATATATTGCGGTTGAGTGGTATATCTCTCGAGTCTCCTCATCTTTCACTGTGTTTGTTGCTCCACTTGCAAGTTCATCTTTAAAAAACCTAAGTTCATTGTCCTGCAGAGTTTCCACACTACTTCCCATTGGTGTCATTGAGATGTTCTTCTGTCCCTACTGTTTCTATAAACTAGGAGTGATAGTGAGAGGCCACTCAGATTCAGGAGTGCATCTTTTTGTCTCCACTGTGTCACAGATGGTGCCCTGTCCTTCACTGGGGTATGAAATAATCAGTCACTGATAATCATTCATTCATTCATCTAAATCTACCGATTCATTCATGGGTGCAAAACTAGGAGTCTCACCTTTCCCTACTCTTTCTTCATTTAATGGCTAAATTATTTCTACATAATTATTTAAAACATAATTAAAACATAAATTATTTCCCTCCTTAACTATTTGAATTTTCTAAGGGTGCATCTGACATAAGAAAGGCAGAGTGAATGCTTATTTTTCTTTTCTTTCCTTTGCCATTTTTTCAACAGTCCCGTTAGTTGGTTCTCTAACATTATCCAAAGGGGACAAATAAAATGTTACGTTTGCTTTTTTGAAACCAAGTTGTTTATTAGAGTTATTTTTAATATATGGATTTCAATATTTGATATATTTCAATTAATTGCAGCTTTTATTCTTGTAGGTGGTGCAATGATCACATTTCAAGGTTAGGGAAGGGGATGCTCCTGAGTTTTTCTGAGACACCTCAAGTAGCCTTTAATGGGTTCATTATTCTCTGGGATAGCAAGATGCCCCTCACTCATCTTATCCATTTCCTTCCATTGACCTAAGAAGCAGCCATTTTTATCTGATTGGAGCATAGGAGTGGCTAAAGTGAGGTCTTGTCAGTGTACAGAACTAAGGAAAGCATTCTCCACAGTACACTATGATTGTTCTGGATGCTTCCAGTTCATCTCGAGAACTCTAGGGATCTCTTCTGGAACTCTTCCATTCTGTGTCTCTGTCTTTCTCTGCTGTGCACAGACTCCTGTCTCTGCAGGTTAACGTAATTGTTCCTTTGCCTTTTCCTGCAATACACACTCAAGTTATTTCAGAATAATGGTTTTGTGCAACTCTAGTCCTTGTTGACTACAGAAAACCCTCTCGTGTGATTTTTCTTTTAGTCATCATGGTATGAATCGCACTGGATAATTGAAGCAAAATTACTGGTTTGAAATCGAAGGAATTTCCATTTGTATGGCTGGGCCATCAACTCAAAACATAGTTATTTTCACGTTTGGTTTTTAAGATTTCTCAAAAGTTACATAATTCTATAATATTTTAAAGCCCAATTAATAAAACAAGGGTGTTTGGAGAAACTGACTTCACTCTGTTTTCCTTACCTTGTTCCTTCTTTCTGCTTTAGCTCACCTTTTACTTATCGTTTATGGTTTTGTTTCTTTTTTAATACAAAAAAATTCCACACACACACATTTACATGTACAGATATATTCATACCCTCTTTTCCTAAAAAGTAGCATGTATACAAAATTCTCTCCATTGAGCATTTTTTCACATCATGATATACCCTGGTGTCCATGCCTCAGTAACGTGGATTTATGTCACTTCTACTCATAGTCACATGGCTCTCGTCTATGGGAGGAGCTCCAGTCTATTCAACAACTCCTTACTGGGGAATGTGATCATGTATAGTGTTACAATGTGCAGTACCTCCTAGAACAATCTCTTGATGTTTTTACAAGTGTGCTATTGGCAGAGCTGCCTGGAATTGGGATTGCTGGGTCAAAGTGTGAACGCACCTGTGGTTTTGCTAGATCTTGCCTGATTCCCTTTCACGAGGATTGTGCCATTTTGCATTCTCCTTGCTCTGGGTATGAGTGTTTCCCACCAGCCTTCCCAGCAAAGCACACTGTTAGGCTTTGGGATTTGGGACAACCCCATAGTTCCTCAGAGGCTTCCCAGGTGGCTCAGTGGTAAAGAACCCGCTTGCTGACACAAGAGACATGGCTTCAGTCCCTGGGTCGGGAAGATCCCCTGGAGAAGGAAATGGCAATCCACTCCAGTATTCTTGCCTGGAAAATTCCATGGACAGAAGAGCCTAGCGGACTACAGTCCATGGGGTCACAGTAAGTCAGATGTGACTGAGCTACTGAGTACGCATGCATGCATAGTGCATCAGTGGCATCTCAACATACTTTTAAACTGCATTTTTAAAAGGACGTGTGGGCATAGCGATGGAAGGAGGGGGTAGGAAGAATTGAGGGAAGATCATTGACATATATGCTCCTCATGCATGCTAAGTGGCTTCAGTCATGTCAGACTCTGTGTGCCCCTATAGGCTATAGCATCACCCCCCCCCTCCCCGGCCCAGGCTCTTCTATCCATGGGATACCAAGAATATGTTGCTATGCCCTCCTCCAAGGCATCTTCCTGACCCAGGGATTGAACCTGCATCTCCTGCATTGGGAGGCAGGTTCTTTATCACTAGCGCCACCTAGGAAGCCCCATATACTCTATCATGTGTAAAATAGATAAATGGTAAGCTGTGATATAGCACAGGGAGCCCAGCCTGGCGTCTTGTGATGACCTGGAGGAGAGGGACAGGAGGGCTGAGGGAGACTGTGGAGTGGGGGATACATGTGTGTGTGTGTATGTATAGTTATGACTCATTTGGAGAAGGCAATGGCAACCCACGCCAGTACTCTTGCCTGAAAAATCCCATGGACGGAGGAGCCTGGTGGGCTGCGGTCCATGGGGTCGCTATGAGTCGGACATGACTGGGCGACTTCACTTTCACTTTTCACTTTTGTGCATTGGAGAAGGAAATGGCAACCCACTCCAGTGTTCTTGCCTGGAGGATCCCAGGGATGGGGGAGCCTGGAGGGTGCCGTCTATGGGGTCGCACAGAGTCGGACACGACTGAAGCGACTTAGCAGCAGCAGCATGACTCGTTCGCATTATTATACTGCAGAAACCATCACACTGTAAAGCAATTATCCTCCAATTAACCAATAAATAAAAAAATAAAATTTGGAGTGAACATTCAACTAACATCTAATAGGTGCCTATTATGTACCAGAGTCTGTGCTAAATGTCGAGGAGACAGAGGTAAGAAACATAGTTCCTCTTAAGGGCTTAGAATGTCTTAAGGCATACAGATGGAAAGGGCTGTTGTGTACCGTTCTATTAAGGGTCCTCACAGAGGTGTCTTTGCTGGGTGTGTGGGAGCCCAGGCAAAAGGTGTCTGAACCAACAGCCTGGGATGCAGAGGAGTGCTTGAGCAGAGGAGCGGCTGAGGATGCTTTCTAGGATGCTGCAGGACCAGAGCTGAGTCCCAGATAACTGTGAGAAGGTGTTTACGAGTCTCACAGAGGGAGCCCAGCAGGTTTTGGCAAGTGACAAAACCAGTGAGCCATGAAATCTCAGTTCAGATTATGGAGAGGAGGTGGAGGGAGTGAGACTTAGAGGGAAGATTCAATAATGCAGGGCATCTGAGGCATCTCTAGAAGGCCCCTTCTGTCTGCACAGGCTCAGCATGGAAGGTGAACTGGCAGTGGAAAGAGCCGACCCTGGGGCTGCTGCTGTGACCAGAGGGAGCGGTGATGAGGGCAGGAGGGCCTGAGCTGCGGGAGGGGTCGCAGAATGTGAAGAGCTGGGTGGATTCTGGAAATCTGCAGAAGAGGTTGTTGGTGTTTTCAAGGAGGGATCAGGAGGCACTGAGTACGAGCCCCAAGTTCTTGGCTGTTGATTCCAGGTGGAGTAAAGAAGGGAAATCTGAAACAGTGAGATGAGGTTGAGAAACCTGAGTTCCTAGCTGCCATCAGATGGAGTTAACTAGTTGAGAGCTGATATCATGGGTACCAGAGATTTTTCAAGAGGGAAGTGACCGTCAGAATATATGGGCCAGAAGGCAGGGTGACAGACTCACCCTGATTTTCCCCAGGCTTTTTTGGGGGTGTAGCACTGAAAAC